AGTGCTCGGCAAACTTTATAACCTGTGTGCCTCAGTTTCCTCACCTGTAAAATGGGGATACTAATAGCACCTACCTCCCAGGGTTGTTCTGAGGATCAAGAGAGATAATATATGTAAAACACTTAGTACAGTGCCTGGCACTTAGTAGGCACTACATAAATGTTAATTATCATCATCATCAATCATCACATAGTTAGCATATGCCTGAGGCCGGATTTGAACTCTCATCTTTCTCACTCCAAATCTGATGCTCAGACAATGCTATAGTAAACTCACCGTCTCTAGTAACTAATGAGATTTCCTGTCAATCCTATGATGAAAAGTTCTACATAAATTACGTTAACAGTAAAATGGTTCCCCCAGTCGTAATGCTCCTTCTCTACTGGTATATTGGGCCCCACAATTCAACCCACGTGACAGAATGCTAAATCTGGGGCCAGGATGATTTGAATGCAAATCCTGCCCCAGACGTGTATTAGTCCTGTGGTCCTGGTCATGTCACTCTCCATGTCTAACAACAATAACCAGCGCTTCTGTGGTGCCGTAAGGTTTGCCAAGCACTTTATATGCATTAATGCTGATAGTATCCTCACGACAATCATAATAGGGAGATGCTTTTATTATCTCCATTTTACAGAAGAGAAAACTGAGGCAGAGAGAGGTTAAGTGACTTGCCCAGCATAACACAGCTAGTCAGTGTCAAAGGGCAGATTTGAACTCAAGTTTTCCTGACTCCAAATCCAGTGTTCTATCCATGGCACCACCTATTAAAGAAACTTCTTTTGTATAGCTTAGTGATAAATTAGAAAATATAAATATCAAAATTTAACAAGGTTTGAGAAAAATGCAGTGGCATATAAAAATAAAAAGATAACATCAAAAATTAGACATTAAAGTTACTCTTTTATTATAAATACCTGCACATGCAAGGAACAAGAAGAAAACAATTGAAATTGAATCGATACCTTTCACCTAATCTGTTTGCATCTCATGTATTACTTTTTATGTACATCTCCCCCATTAGAGTGCAAGCTCTTTGAGGGCAGGGAAAGTTATATATATCTCCCCAGTTAGAGTGGAAAGTCTTTGAGGACAAGGGCCATTATGTGCATCTCCCCAGTTAGAGTGTAAGCTCTTTAAGGGCAGGGATCAATTACTGTTTTACTTCTTCATCTCCCTAGAGCTTAGCACAGTGCCTAGCACATAGTAAGTGCTTAACATATGCTTGTTGATTGATTAAATGTTAGGAAATTGTAAAGAACAAACTTAGCCCCAAAGCAGAGAGGAGAAAAGGCACTTCCCTGCTCCATCTTTGCAGATACGGGGGACTATGGGAATGGAATTCTGCATATGTCAGACTTTGGTGTTATATTGGTTAGTTTTGATGAGGTCCCCCTCTACCCCCTTTGCAACTCTGTTATAAGGGATTGCTCCCTGGTATGGGGAAGGGAGAAGATACATTAGGAAATGCAGATGATGTAAAAAGAAGATTCCAGTAAAAATTTATTTTAACAAAAAGACCTGCTAAAATAAGAAAATGTTAGCTAATAAAAGCATTGACCTATTATGGACTTCCATATCTTAGGCAACATTCAAATTAATTTCTAAGGCCACTTTCTAGCATTGACAAGACTATTTGCCAAGATGACCCAGTGCTTTTTACTAAACTTTTCTACTAATAAACTGGTGCCATCCTGGTGAGAAGATGGCTTTCTCCACAAACCACATACCTGACCTATATTACAATTGGCTCCAGCTTCTCAGAAAATTCTAGGACATCCTCACCCAGGGTCCCCTTGCTGTCTAGACCACATGATTGACACATCTTGTCTCAGCTGATTTCTGTTACAGCCTCTACTGATTTACCCTGAGTTAAAAAAAAAATCCATGTCATGACTTACCTTGAGGATAGAATAATTGACTTGGCTCAGGAGCTGGAAGAGCCTGCCTTGAACCCCTGGCCAAGGGGCAGAGAGAGCCAGGGCCTCTCCACTGAGAGGTGCACCCTGGCTTTGGGTTTTAAGACAGCAGCGTAGAACCACCACCCATGCGGCTGTCTCACAAAAAGCATTCTTTGCTTTGCTCCTTTGGGGAAGTGGGAGTCCAGAGAGGGAAAGCCAGGAGTTTGCATCATTCCCTGAATCCTTGACATTTTCAAACACCCATGTAAGGTGTTAGATACTGCATCTATGTGTTGGTTGTTTTTGCTGAACATCTTAATTTGCCGTTTTTTGTTATTTTGTCACAAGGGGCCATTCACTGGGATGGAAAGAGAAAGGGATAAGCATTTATTAAGTGCCTACTATTTGCCAGGCACTATGATAAAAGCTTTGCAAATATCATATCTCATTTAATCCTTTATAACCCTGGGAGGTAGGTGCAGTTAGTCACATTTTACAATTGAGGCCACAGAAATTAAGTGGCTTTCTCCAGATCACACAGCTAGTCTGAGGCTGGATTTGAACTTAGGTCTTCCTGACTCCAGGAAGGAAAGGAATAAACATTTATATAGCACCTACTATGTTCCTAGCACTGTGCAGAGTACTTTCATAAATACTATTTCATTTGATCCTCATAACAATCCTGGAAAGTGATGACAGCTCATCTCCATTTTATAGATGAGGAAACTGAGTTCAAGTGACTTGGCCAAGGTCACACAGCTAGTAAGGTCAGATCTGAACTTATGTCTCCCTGACTCCAGGCCCAACATTCTATCCACAGCACTACCTAGCTGCCTCTAGGTAGAGGGTACACGTTAAGAAATGAAGGTAATGTGAAAACCAAAGGTATCAATACAATAAAATAATACACCCCTCTCCCCCATGCAAAGCCCCATATCACTGCATTCAAAGTGTCATCTTGTGAAAATTATTGCATATTATTGATGCTGAGGGGACAGCATCCTCCCAGTCTCTTCTGTACTCCTAACTCACTCTCATGTCTAGGTCTGTCTGTTTTTGCTTCTTAACATGTCTTGAATATGCCCCCTTCTTTCCTCTGATCCTGTCCCCACCCTGGTGCAGACCCTCACCACCTCACTCCTGGATTATTGCAAGAGCTGCTGGGGGGATCTTCCTGCCTCTCTCCTACTGCTGAAACTTAGACCTGGGGAATTTCCTAGATGAGTCTTCCAATTCTCATCTATTTGGGGAATTTTTGAAATCTACACAAACACACACACACACACACACACACACACACACACACACACAGGAATTTAGGTTAGCATACCTTCTCTAAGAGGGAGCCAAGTTGTGACGGTGCAAGGAACGTTGGACTCAAGAGTCTGTGTTCAAGTTATGTGCTAAGCTCTTCGCTGGGACACCCAAAGCTGAAAATCGATGGCCCCTGCCCCCAAGGAGCACATAAGACAACACATAAAAGGGAAATTGAAGGAGAGAGAAGGAACCACGGCGGCCATCGGGGCAAAGGCCCAAAGTCAGCAGCCCAACTGGGAGGGGAATGAAGCATGGCCAGCTCGGGCTCATCCCCACAGGGAGGGCCCTGGAAGGGACTCCTCAGCGGAAGAAGGGAGATAGCAGGCTGGAGGAAAGCTGCAGGGCGAGAAGGCAGCTGAGTCACGGGGGCAAAGTCAGCAGAGTAAGCAACCCAGGTGGGAGGGGAACATAGGAAACATAGGTGCAATCAGTGGGCAGCCCCTGAAATACACTTACGTAACAGGTGTACTGGAGGCAAGGAGCATTTCTACATGACTGAAATTCATCCCTCAGCTAACATGAATGTCTGTTAACTATTTTCCATGGTATTTTTAAAAGTTCTTAGTGATGTCACACGGAGTGCTGGCTCCGCTCTCTCAGACGCTGGCCGGCTCCTCCGGCTTTAGGGCTGTCATCGCTACCATCTTCAGTTTGAGCCCCCACTGCCTAGGTTCCCACCTTGTGTCACTAACACTGAGCTGCTTTTACACAAGCTGGAGCTGGAGACAGAAGAATACAAATGTACAAACACCATTCCCCTCCCCATTACCTTCAGGACACACTCTCCCCATATCATTTCAGTCTTTGGGGAGAGCAGGCTCAACTCAGCTCAGTTCCTCCATAGTACTGATCCCACCAATCAAATGAGATGCTATTTGTAAAGTGCTTAGTCCAGTGCCTGGAACACAGTAGGTGCTTTTCCTTTCCTATTTCCTTCCCTTCAGGGGCAGCCAGGTGGTCAGGAAAACCAGAGTATAAATCTGGCCTCAAACACTTGCTAGTTGTATGATCTTGCGTAAGTCACTTAACCTGTATTTGCCTCAATTTCTTCATCTGTAAAATGAAGATAATATTAGTGCCTATCTCCCAGAGTTGTTGTGAGGATCAAATGAGAGGATAATTCTAAAGTGCTTGGCACTTTAGAATAGGTGTTATATAAATGCTGCTGCTTATTATTCTTCCCCACCAAGCTCACCTTCAGAGGTGGCCTCAATGCCGGATGAGTCCTTGCCCCAGCTACAGATGGCCTGGAGCCCTGGAGGTCTTTCCTTGCTCCTTGAGGCACAGATAACAGACCTGGATTCTGGAAGGATAGGATGAGGAGGGAGACTCCATTCCCTTCAGGTTTCAGGGATATCAATGCTCACTGGCTCACACCTCCACTCTGGACTGCGGCCAACGGGACAAGGCTAAAGTTGGCCAACAAGTCTTTGTAAATGACGAGTAGCCAATCAACGAGCCTTCTCTTCATCCTGCGGATAGCTGACCAAACCAATTCTAAAATGTCTACACGTGCTCCAGTCTCTCTCAGACACTTCTCTGATGTGTGTCATCCTGATTCTTCTAGAACACGGGAAACCCCATTAGGAAGCCTAGAACTGGGTTTCCCAGGTTCTCCATGTGGAGAGACACCATCCTGGGTGCTCTGCCTGTGCACCAGATCCCATCACCCTGAAATAAAGCAAAAGGCTTGAACTCAAATCTCTGCTTTTGTGAACTAGAAGCATTTGAGAGATAGTCTCTCTCCTAAGAGAACACAGGAGCTGTACAGGTTTGAAGAAAAGTGATTTTTATTTTCATTTAATAAAATAGGCTGTGTTAAAAAATATAATAAAATAATAAAACTAGCAAAAACCAGCCAGCCCACCACTAACGTTTAGTGCAAATCCTGCCATCCCCCAAGGGAGCCATCGGGGGGAGCTAGACATTTGTCTCAAGTCCAAGTAACCGTCCCATCCGCTCCATGTTCTTGTCTATTGTCGCCTGGCAGGTTATCTCCTTGGCACACTCCATGGGAAACCAGCCCTTTTCACCGTCCCGTAGCCGTTCACCTTCATACCAACCTGCAAGGAAAACCTGACAATCAATCAAGCTGCTAAGTGTTTGGAGAGAGCCTACCCATCTTCCTGAGCTCAAATCTGGCCTCAGACACTTCCTAGCTGTGTGACCCTGAGCAAGTCACTTAACCCTGTTTGCCTCAGTTTCCTCATCTGTAAAATAAGTGGGAGGAGGAAATGGCAAAACCACTCCAGCGTCTTTGCCAAAAAAACCCCAAATGGGGTCACAGAGAGTCAGACACAACCAAAAAGGACTCAGCAACAAGTATGTGCTCAGCCCTGGGCTAGGTGCTAGCTATGGGAAACACAGGAAGGCACAGGATTTATTCCCTGTCTCAAGGGGCTCACAGACAAAATTGATTTGTATTTCACTTACTATTTGTGAATAGGTTTTCATTTTGTGGTTACAGTTTGCAGTTTTTCAGTGGAAAATTATTAGCTCTTATCCTTTGATTACTTCTCTGTTAGGGAATGGTTCTTGGTGGTGCATACTTGTGTCCATTCTCGTCCATTTTGGATATTTGATTTATTGATGATCAAAGATTTAGAGCTGAAAGGGACCTAGGCCAAACGTTTCATTTTACAGATGAGGAAACTGAGGCACAGAGGTTTAAATGGACTGCTCAGGGACACAGCTGTAGGGATAGTAGAGACAAGATATAAACCCAAGGGTCATATGCCTGGAACCTGTGGGGATCCTAGCCCCATTTTGTCCAACCCCCTCATTTTACAGTTTCAGGAATTGAAGACCACAGAGGTTAAGTGACTAGCCCAAGGTCACAAGGAGTAAGTGTCAGAACCAGCCATCTAACCCCAAATTCAGCTTGGATTACACCACACAGTCACTTCATGCTCTTCTGACTTTTTCTAAATGTTTTAAGTAAAAAGGATGCAGTTCAGTGGATTCATTAGGAAATCCCCTCCTGGTACAAATCCGTGAGAAGCCTGTGGTCATTTGAGAAGTGCACTGCCCAGGATTACGTAGTTGGGTCAGTATATTGGCTTCTCTGACACCTACTTTCCTGGCTTTGGAGATTAACCAACGCATTTATAGAACAATCCTACACTTCTATCAGAGCCAATGACCACCAGTCCCCAGCCCCTCTCCAGCCCCCAGTGGGCTTTCAGAAGACTTGCAGCAAACGCCTGAGGGCATGACAAAGAGGCTCCCGACCTGTGAAGCTCTGGGAAAAGCTCCGAGGCCAGTGGCATGGCCACACATCCTGACAGTCTGTGACATGCTGAGAAGAAACTGAAAATGGCGTTTTCTGGTCTTGAATGTACCTGAGCTCTGGGGGCAGCTGCATGACAAAGAACATGTACCCACCGTCGCTGACATTCTGGTAAACCAAGACCACGTCCGACACCTGAAGGGACAGCTCGTCCGGCTGCTTGGCTGTGAACGTGCGGACGATTTCCACTTGGGTCAGCGCTACGGAGAAGAGAGAATGCTCTGAGGGAACTTTGAGGGAGGGAAGACAGGCGTTCTTTTAAATGCAGAGAAAATCAGTATGGTCTACAGCCACTCTCCCATCCTCTTTAAGCCGAGAGAGAGCAAAATGTGTAGAGAGAATGATAAAGTCATTCTAACTTTTTAGAACGTTTCTGGTACCCCAGGCCAACCTTCTCCTTTTTTCAGATGGGAAAACTGAGACCAAGAGTCTTCCAAGATTGAGTGTCTAAGTGTGGCTAGGCTTGAACATGGTGCCTGGTGGGGAACGAGCCAATCATCAACGAAGGCACTGAAATAGGGAATGCTCCTACGTGGATGGGGTGCTTAGAAAGCCTAACTTGCTCTTGGGGATAGGAAGGAAGGCCAGATGATGCTTCAGTTGTTACTCAAGAAATGTCCACCAGGGGACAGCGCTTCTCAATTGGCCACAAAAATCTCTTCTACTTACTGGTCCTGTCCAAGCTCTGCCGGTCACTGCTCTGCCCCAGGGCAGTTATCCAGCGAGCTCGTTCACTCCTAGGAATAAAAGAAGAAAATTAGTTTCCCAGGCTCAGTAGAGCTACTTCCATTCTTGTTACAGTGAAGAGGGCTTGATTTAGAATCCCGGGACCTGGGTTCTAATTCTGCCTCTCTGGCTTGGCATGGTGGGTAGAGCACAGGACTTGGAATTAGGAAGTCATGAGTGTAAATCCTGTCCCAGATACGTCCTAGCTGTATTGTCTTGGGCAGACCACTTAATAGCACTTACTTCACAGGACTGTTGTGAAGATCAAAGGAGATAATTCATGTAAACCATCAGACACAGCCTCCATAACCTGACCCCTCCGGCCTCCCAGGCTTTGTCTACTTTTCTGCACGCTCTATAACTGAGAGGCACCTGTCTTCTCACTATTCCCCTGATTTCTTACCTTCTTGTTGGCCAATATTGTCTGGGATTCTCCCCCTCCTCACCTCCACCTCTAAGGAGCTGGGCTTTCAGCCCTTATCTTACCTTCAGCAAGAAGCCTTCACAAGCCCTGCCCTCTCCCTGCCTCATGTACCTCCATCACTTAGTTAGAGCCTTTCCTCTGAGATCACCTCCCATTGACGCTGCAAGGTCTTGCGTGGATAGAGTTTGCACATATGTGGTGGCTACCCAGTTAGAATGAGACCCTTGAGGACAGGGTCTTTGTTTTTGCCTTTCTTTGTATCTTCAGCTCTTGGTACAGTGGTGGGCACATAGAAGGCATTCAGTAAATGTTCACTCACTGTTGGCCTTTCTAGCCTTCCTCCCTGTACTGCAGAGCCCAGGGACACTGTCATATTTGCTGTTTCTAGAACACAAATTCCAGCTCCCAACTCCACACCTTTGTACTGGTTGTGCCCCCTGCCTGGAAGGCTCTGCCCCCTCACCTGCACCTCTAATATCCCTGACTTCCTTTGAGGCGCGGCTCAGAACCCTCCTTCTTCAGAAAATCTTTCCAGGTACCGCAGTCACTAATTCCTTCCCATTTCAAATGTTTTCCACCTCATTTACATAGCGCTGTAAGGTTTGCAAAGTGCTTTACAAATAGCATCCCATTTTATCCTCACAACAACTCTGAAGTAGATGCTTTTGTTATGCTTATTTTCCAAATGAGGAAACTGAGGCAGGGTTTGACCTCAGCACTGCCCCCACCCACTGTGCCACCACCCTGCCTCAGTGAAGGTGATAAAAGTTAGAGGTCTTGAGAAAAATAAGTTTTTTAAACAAAGGTCCCAAGTAAACATTTTAATTGTTAATGTCTGCTGTGACTCCCTTTTCTAGCTTTACATACACACACACACACACACACACACACACATGCATATATGTATACACACATATCTAGGTATATATGTATATACACATATGTGTACCCATATATACATACCCCCACACATATAGAAATACACACACACACACACACACACACACGTGTTTTTTTCCCCCAAAACTCCAGAGTAATTTAAAAGTCTCTAATCTCTCAGCAAAGAGAAGGGCCACTCATTTAGAGGTACCTGCAAAAGACCACTTAGCGCCTCTCTAAATACCCTTGCAATGCAGCCAGACTTTAAGCATCATCTCTTTCCGTCTTTGCAGGCTCTGGGGCTGCCACATGACACAATATGCCCCAAACAGACCTGACTCATCCCTCTCTTACAAAAGCCAAGGTCTGTAAATGAGCCATTAGCTGTCTCCCATTCTTTTCATGGCTTTTCCAAGCTTTGGAAGAAACCCAAACCGCAAACATTTGTAGCTAGAGCCGTGTCTGGTGCACCCTGATGCCAGTTTGTGGTGTGTCTCCAATTTCCACCAGGACAGATATAATCATTCATTTTTGTGGAGGGAGATGCTCAGATACTGATAGCGTCCCGACATGACAGCGCCTTCCCCAAGATTGGCAGAGGACAGAACAAGACAGTTCTTGTGGCTGTTGTCTGCAGTAGAAGCTTCTGGAAATGCTCCACTGAAGCCACATCCCCTCCTCCCATCTCTGATGCTATCAAACTCTACAGCATCCCCCAGAACTACAGATAAACCTGCCAGAGAGTTTGGGTTCTAGACCATGGGGAGCACCATGGAGAGCACCACCAAGCCTTCCTTCTGAGCTTTTCACTACAGGGAACAGGCCAAGAAGGAGCTCTAGGAACAGGGAAAGTCAAGCTCTCAAACCCAAGGGGGAGGGAGGGAGGGGGAGGGAAAGACACACACACACACACACACACACACACACACACACACAGACTGCTCATTACTCTCCCAGGGTGAGAGTCTGTGTGATACAGGGGAAGGACTGCTGGATTCAAAGAGTTCCAGCCCTGGCTCTGCCTCCACCTGGGTGACCTTAGGAAAGTCCTGTGATCTCCCTGGGTCTCAGTTTCCTCACTTGTAAAAGAATTTAGCTCAGAGGCCCTAGGAGGTTCCATCTGGCTCCAGGTTTATCTGATCCTGGGCAGAGGGCCTCTTTGCCTCCTCACAGAAGCAGAAGAGGTATGTGTCCTCGAGCCAACACTGGGGATATAGCATTTCACCAGAAATAGTAGTGAATTAATCATTTCTTGTGGGTAAAACACTTACAGCTGCAAAACACATGCATAACACACAAACACACACACGCAGGCAAAGAATCTGTCATGGCCATTCTGCCAGGAGTTACTAGCAAGTAAGACAAAGAATCACTTTACAGGTCCAAGATGGAGGGGCCATGCCTATCAAACCCTAACCCTAAATTGGTTCAAGTGGACCACAGGCCCACAGGTAAGCATTTGACAAGGATCGTGGTCCTGCCGTGGCAGCCAAGAAGCAGAGGTGATATCTGGCTGCATTGGGAGACAGTCACCTACCTGTGCACAGTCAGGGAGGTGACTGCCCAACTGTGGGAGCAAGCATTTTTTAAAGCACCTACTATGTGCCAGGCAT